CAATGATTTCAAGAAGTGATGTACGGGGTGTGACGGGAACACTATTGGTAGGTGACAGGAAGAATTTTGAAAATTTTTTTCTTTCGAACTTTCAATTAGTGATGAGAATGAATAATAAGGGAGTAAAGTACCTAAAATTATTTATACTTCAGCGAGCGCTATATTGATCGACTGCACTTTGTATCTATATCTATAGGTCTATGTGTTGTATGGGCGTTATGGCGCGGACCGCAAGTATAAGCGTTTGCTAAGGAGTGCAGGATCCGCAGAGTTGCTCTATCTGTTATGATTGGACCAATACAGCGCTGTATGAGCAACGCAGTGATTGAAAGAGTTCCGTTCCCCATTATGGAGCGCGCCTGGCGAAGCCAGGCCAGCTCGGCGAAGCCGAGCTAAAGAGAAGGAGGAGAGCTCGGCGTCAGCCGGGCGATCCGACTGGTATACAATACGCTCTTGGTTAGAATATTCAATATTTGATTCTGTTGTTGAAACAGAAACTGGTAAAGGTTCTTACAATATCACTTGTGAGATTACATTCACAAATTCGAAACTTGTCCAAGTTGCGTTAGAAATTCTAATGATTCTCGTTGAAAAGTGAATGAAAACTAGTTTGTAGCACTTTTCTGAAAAACCATTTCAAAGTGGTCCAAATGGCTTTGACATTCCAATAATAAGCTCTTTGCGCCCTTAACGTTGTACAGAAAAAAATTTCAAAAGACTGCGGAGCAATTTGTGGCCGTTTCATGAATTGCATTGAACATTATATAATTCAGAAAGTAATCTTCTCAAAGATTACCATCGGAAATTAGCGTATATAAAGCAGTGCAACTACCATTTTCTGCACAGCATTTCACCTTCTGTGGACAATTGACCATGATTCCTGAATTCTTCCACTGGTCAAAGCGAATTCAATCTTCAAATTTTCAGGATGGAGCTTCTTGTGTTTTTGCTAGCCATTGGTGCACCAGCAATGGGCCATATGATGCATATGGGAGAACATCTTGACCACGGATGCCATATGAGTCCAGCGAGGCCATCTTATCTGAAAAATGTTACACTTAAAGCTCGTGAGGAGTACGTCACTATATTGAAGCATAAAAACAGTACAATCGCTCAGCAAAACGAAGAAATTATGAAATGGGCCGAAAAATATGACGTCAAGGTGAGCGGATGTTGAGGTTGCTTTTGTTTTTCATCACGCGTGCCCTACACTGCGAGTATACTCAGCGAATCATTGTCTACAGAGATAGTGTTTATGCCGAGAAGAGGTAGAACTATAGTGCAAATCTGAGTTGCTTTCTTAGCAGAACACCTGGGGAGTCACAACTGGAAGGGGTCGTGTTTGATCCTACTTGTCTGCCTGCGGCACGGCTAAAGTATTGCCCTTGATAGTGAATCGGGGATGTCTTCCTCCCCTTCCCGATCGATGGCAATTTGTTTAGGAACCTTGCCACTGTCAGCCTACAGTGGAAAGGGATTACACGAGGAACTAGTCCCTTAGTTCGCATTCAGTAGAAGTTTTCTTGAGTGCCAGAAGCGCCTTATTTCTGAGTAGTATCGCGAGCCAGCCGCGTACGCCCCAGACGCAAACGCACAACACGCCGCTTTTCCAGTCGTACCCATAGCCCTGACCATAGCCAGACGCTCTACTTATCTGCAGCCGCTCACTGGGGCGCCAGCTTGGAGGCTTGACCTCTGCCGAGGCGCGTATGTTGTGCCGAAATCAGGGCTCGTCCTCCCCCCCCCTCCGCTCGACAGCAAAATTTTTGGGAAAAATTAGGGAAGTTTTCGGGAATTTTCAAAATCTGAGAATTAGTAGAAGGGAGGGCGGGTATTAGTCTCGCGGCTTTTTCCTGTTTCACATGTGCTATTTATCCCCCCCCCCCCTCCGCTCGACGGCTCGATTCGATGAGGAGGGACAGAGGGCCGGGGTCGTACCAACCCCAAAAAAGGGGGGGGTCGTACAGACTCGACTAAAATCCCCAACCAATGATGTGCCCTGGCCGAAATGGTACTGGAGTGTAA